ATAATACGTAATTTTCAAAAAATTATATCGGTTGTATTTTTAAGAATTATGATATGATATGTATGTTAAACTGTAGTTTGCAGATTCTAGTTTATGATATGATATAAAAACTATAAGATAATATTATTAAAATTTCCAAGAAAAAATTATTAATGAAGAAATTGTCAAATTTATAAATAAAAAAACGCGAAATTTTCAAAAAATCATATCGGTTGTATTTTTAAGAATTATAATATGATATGTATGTTAAATTGTAGCTTGAAGATTTTAGTTTATGATATGACATAAAAACTATAAGATAATATTATTGAAATTTCCAGGAAAAAAATTATTAACGTAGAAATTGTCAAATTTATACATAAAAAATAATCCGAAATTTTCAAAAAATCATTTTAACAGTTTTTAAGAATCTTGATATAATAAATATGTTAAATTGAAGCTTAAATATTCTAGTTTATGATATGACATAAAAACTATAAGATAATATTGAAAATTTCATTTAATATTTTATGATAATATTACGACTTTTTCTAATTTTATGTATTTAATAAAATTCTATATTATTTTGATTTCTCACTTTCATTTTTATGATATACGTATGTGATATACCTATATATACCGACCGAGGTCATTTTGACCGGCCGTTTTTTTTTTGACATCTTCAATATGAAAACAACATGAAAACTTCTGAACAATACGTCATGAGTACGAGTACACACAAGATAGTCATATTACTCAGATGTAGAAGATTGCCTCTTCAAGTATTTTTTAACATTCTCGACTTAGCGGAAATAAATGCATGGGTTTTGTACAACGAAACAACCGACGAAAATATATCGCGAAAAATTTTTTTGTTTCAATTAGCAGAAGAACTTTCCGCAGAGTATAAAGATCCATCAGAACAGGAAAACCTAAATGACATCTTGAAGAGCCCTGAAAGTTCTAATATAAGAAAAACTCGCCAAGTAGGTTTTTGCAATGAAAAGAAAACTATGAATATATGTGCTGGTTGTAAAAAACATGTTTGTGGTGAATGTATATTAAAAAAAAAATCTATGTAAAAATTGTAGTGATCTAAATAATAACTAAACCTAAATAAAAATCAAATAATGTTACTACTTTTTATGTAAATAGATGTATACAGGGTGTTTCGGTGACTCGGGGAACAAATTTAACCACATATACTAGAGTGAAAATGATGACGAGTCGTGTAAAAAAAATTAGTAAAAGTCCTCAAATTTCGAAGATACAGGCCATCAAAGTTATGAAATTGTAACACATTTTTCTAAATTTCTTAAACACTATTTATGGTAATGTGCTGAAATTTGGTACAGTATAAACTAATATCACGTAAAACCATTAGGCAATTTATAAGTTGGATCGGTCCGCGGGAACAATGCTATACAGGTTGTTCCTAAAATTTGTTTGCTCAGAAGTTTTTTATTCGATCGTAACCCTACATTTATTTTTACAGTTTCTAATAGAAAATTTATTTTAGAAACCTTTATTACTCTTAGATAATATTGATAAAAATCACCGTTTTCGTGTTAAATGCAAATATGTTAGGTTCCGATTTCAATAACAATAAAAAAAAAAACTAAGTCGGCCATGACAAGTGCAAATCGAATTGAGCCGTCATAAATATTATGTATGTAACATTTCCAAGTGTAGATTAGGTAAATCCCTTTTTAATTTGTTTTAGTTGATTTAATAAAAGATAATACAAAACAATAAATTTAATTTTAACGACAACGCTAACAGGAAAAATAAAACAAATACATAAAATAACAAGACAAGTAATAAAAAATACTATAGGAAATGTTCAAAAAGACCACATGTCCCTTCTGGTATTTAACGGAACGTCACTAAGAACTCGTCCAATCCTTCCAAATGTTGATGGTATGTAGGGCCATCAAGTCTTGACGGCAAGAAAACGGGACCAACAATGACATCCCCCACAATCCCAGCCCAAACATTGAGAGAAAATCTCCATTGAGATTTCCAAGTTTTGAAAAATTTTGGATTTTCTTCAGCCCAACTATGTAAATTCCTTAAATTAATTATTCCATCTTTGGAAAAAGTAGATTCATCGGTGAAAAGTATTTTTTCTAAAAACTGATTATCAATTTGTATTTTCTGTTGCATTTTCTGGCAATATTCCAATCTAATTGGATAATCGGTAAGCTGTACTTCCTGAACCTTACAGCAGTGAAATGGGTAAAGCTGCTGCTCTCGAAGAATACGCCACACAGTCGTTTTTGACGTCCCAAATCGCCTAGCCATGTCCGAAGTACTAGTAGTACTATTTTCTTCTGCATGTTCTAAAATTAACTCTTCCAATTGAGGAGTTCGAACAGATCTAGGGTTGCCGTTGTTCAGAAAGATATGTTTTAGTGATCCATTTTCTCTTAATCGGGCTTCAATTCGAGAAAACGTTTTTCTGTTGGGGGTTCTACGATTCGGGAATTTTTGCCGATAACGGTTAGCGGCTGCTACGGAATTTCCAAGACATTCACCCAATGTTAAAAGCATATCGGTTTGTTCTCCAAACGTGTAATTTTCCATTTCGAACACTACAAGGTTTTTAGTATTTGTTTAAACGACTAAGCGTGTTTACAACTGTCAATGAATTCGTTTGTTAATTGTCATGGCAGACTTAGACTTTTTTTTTAGTGTTATTGAAATGGGAGCCTACCATTTTTGCATTTAACACGAAAACGGTGATTTTTATCAATATTATCTAAGAGTGATAAAAGCTTCTAAAATAAATTTTCTATTAGAAACTGCAAAAATAAATGTAGGGTTACGATCGAACAAAAAAGTTCTGAGCAAACAAATTTTAGGGACTCCCTGTATAGCATGGTTGCCGCCGCCCGATCAAAGTCAAAATTGGTTCAATGATTTTGCTTGATATTTGTTTACCCTGTACCAAATTTCAACGCTCTACCATAAATGGTATTGAAAATATTTAGAAAAATGTGTTAAAATTTTTGAACTTTGATGGCCCATATCTTGGCCATTTGAAGACTTTTATAATAAATTTTTTTCACCAATCGTCATCATTTTTGCTCTAGTATATGAGATTAATTTTATTCCCCGAGTCACCGGAACACCCTGTATATCATGTACCTGCAATATTATAATGAAACTTATTTTCTTATATTTAAAACTTTTCTTTGAATTTTTATATTTTGTCAACTAAATATCAAACCGGTCAAAATGACCGGGTTGGTAGAAATAGGTATATAACAACTTTTGGTAATTCTAGTGTTAAAGAAGAAATCATATCAACTGTATTTTTAAGAATCTTGATATAATAAATATGTTAAATTGAAGCTTAAAGATTCTACTTATTAAAATTTCCAGGAAAAACTTATTAAAAAAGAAATTAATATAAATTTAATTAATTGATTTACCTCCATCAATTTTGGCATTTAAAACTGGACATGAAGTAACACTTTGGTACCAATATTTCGTTAAGGGATCCCTATTTGGAGCGCTTGTACACTTCTCAGATACATCATTCCAGCCGCAATAAGGATCCATAGCGTTGATACAACTATCCCTGGATCTATGTCTACCGCAATGACTCGTTGGAATCATAAGTAATTTATCCTCAGTCCCCACATAAACGGAGTTTGTTTCTTTTAAATATTGCATCCTTAAAATTGGTACGCTAGAATGTCGAACTGGTTGCCAAATTTCGATAACGCACGGTTCCATCGTACGTGGCAAAACAGAAATTTTTTTAATATAACCTTCCGAAGTTGCCACGTATATCACGTGGACGTTTACGTGAAGTCTCGTCGCCAAGACGTCAACTGTTAAGTGATTATAAACTTCTAATTCTGCTACGTGAATTGGTTTTTGCGTTGAGGGGTGTACGGCGCCGTCCATAAATTGATATTTCGAGCTACCAATAAAATCTGGACTATGTTCGGAGTCGCGACACTCAAAATGGTTTTGATAATTTGATGGGCGTTTCTCCCACGTGCTGTTTGAGTGCTCTTGGTATTTAAAGGGGCCCATAAAAGTCGCCTCGATGGCCGTTAAATTAAAAGCACATATTGCTGAACCACCTATGCCGTTTTGCGGGGTTGAAAATGTTGCATAAACTAATCCCTCTTCCGGTACGTAAGAGGCGCTTTGAATTTCGTTGAAATAAAAAGGGTACTCCCCGGGTATCGAACAATTTAAACGAGCCTTTAGAAACGTCGTCCAATTATCTCTTCGAAGTAATTTACCTCCGTTATCATTTTTACAAACTCTAGCGATTCGCGAATAGATTGCTTTTCCGCAATTTATGTATTCAACAGCTGCTTCGCGAAATATAAAATAAATAAATTTGTCAGTTTCAAATGAGGAGACGAATTGGGGCTCGTTTAACCACAAACTGTTATATTGTTCTGTGCGTAAACTATTTAAATGCGTTATACTTCTATAAATTGCGTAATCGGATCCTGCGAAATCTGTTGGGGCTCCAACGTAAAATTCTCCTTTTTCCGTCATTAAAGCGGAAATATGTGCGTGAGGATTGTATGGGCATTTTGCTTTGCCGTCGACTCTTTCAATAACGTTATTTATATTATCGATTTCTCTCCAAGTACATCCTGGTGCAAAAGAATCGGTTCCGCAAGCAAATAAATGCTTACCATTGGTCACTAAAACTTTTATAAAATTGTGGCAATCTTCTTCCGATTGTCCTTTAGTGACACAAGCTTGAATTTTATCTTCGGAAGATGTCCAAGTTGCGTCTTCAGTTAAAGTTAAATTTTGTAACTCTAACCGGAGTAATGTGTCTCTAGCCCCGACTATTAATTGGCTCCTTGATATATCAAATAATAATTGCGAATAAGAAGTAACCCCTTTCTTCGAAAATTTCGATGAAGATTCCTTCAGATCTAAAAAAAATAAATTCCTAAGAATGTTTGTCTTGGACTTATTATCAAGCGCATAACACAATAGGTCATTGAATTACGATTAGCCAAGCTCTTTTTTACGGTCAAATCATAAATTATGCTGATAACAACCTTGCTTATTGTGAATTTAAAATAAATTTTTAAAAAATTATATAAAATAAAGGTGTTTACGGACGGTATAAACAAGATAAGTCTTATCGAAAGTAGTTTTTCACCTCAAAAATTTTTAAGTAAATACTCAAACTCGACGCGTTTTTGATATGTTTATAATCGGGAGATAAACCCGAATTATGTTTGTCAAATATAAAGAAACGATTAATTTTTTTAACGTACAGTGACACAGAAAAGTATACAGTGTGATAATTAATTATCGTACCCGGCGTCATCATTGCAAGTATGCAACCAATATCACAATATTGGTACTGCAATACACAAATCGCGTAATGCAATAAAAATACTGATATTAATTAACATACACCCCGGTAAAACTCCGTTTTGAGTAATTTATAAAACAACTGCAGAATAAATTGCGTGTGTTCAACATTTATTTAAACACACTTAATTAGGGACCCCAAAAACATAGTATTAATATTTTGTGTTGCCACCATTACTTTTTTTACGATTACATGAAATCGTTCTCTTGATGTCTTGGAAAGTAAACTTCGCCGAGGTCGCTTGCGGGCGAGAATTCAATGAGATTTTGCATTTAGGAGCCATGATAAACACATCATGATTTATTATTAAACACTTATTTACTGTTTATAACCAACTCAGCCATTTGCTACCAATTGATACCAAAACTAACCCAACCTAACTCATTTGTTACCTTTTTTTCCCAATTTTTGTCAATTTTGCCAAATCAAGTACTTCCTTATTGATCCCAATTAAGACAGTAACTCCTTAGATATTGCCATCGCTTGATTATTAGCATAAGATGGAGTCCCATTTAGAGTTTCTACTACGTACAAGGATTTAAGAAGATATATTGTATGTCCATTTTGGTTTTAATACTTGCTTATATATTAGCAACTTGTTACTTGTTGATAGCGTTGATTTTCTGCCAATAAGCCAATATAGGTGTCTAAATTTGATATCAACTTTCTCCAGCGTCATACCAAGATATTTTGCGGGTTGCATTGCCATTTATGTGTACTGGGACATAGTTTACTTCCTTATAAGTAAAGTTTATGTAAGTAGAGTGTTGGGCCAAATACACTTGTGCTTTGCTATGGATCACTTGGAATGCCAGGCAAATGATTAAACTAAGGAATGAAGCATTTGCTAAGTATAACAGGATTAGGAGTCAGCAGAGTTTTCAATATTACTCTACTTATGTTACGGGTGCTATTCGCCGGAAAAAAAGGTAAAATGTATCTTCTGCTATTTCGTTGCATTCTCATTTGTCAGATCCTAATGTTATCAATACATTTTTAGTAACAGTGTACATGATTCCTTGGTTACTCCTATTACTGATCTTTTTGCTTTTTATAACAATAATATGATGCATCCTGCTTTGTCCATGTTTGCATTTAGTGAGGTCTCTACTGAGTGTATCCAGCAAATTTTATGGAACCTAAGGTCTACAGGAGTTGGATCTGATGGAATTAGGTTCTGCCATGGTGTGGGAGTGTTTCAGCGCTGCTATCACCGGCCCTCTGGTTCGCATTACGGGCACCATGAACCGCCAGAAGTACAGGGACTGTCAGGAAGATGACATGTTTCCCTGGCCACGCAGAAACATGGGTCGGTGTTGGCTGTTTCAGCAAGACAATGATCCCAAGCACAAATCCAGGAATGTTCAACTAGATTGCGCAGCGCCGAGTGGCGGTAATGGACTGGTGCAGCCAGAGCCCGGATCTCAACATTTTCGAACCACTGTGGGACACCCTTAGACACAAGTTGACGGGCATTCGGGCCACTTACGCCGACGAAAAGCTCCATCAGCTGCAGGCGAAATGGGTGAAGATCGACCAGTCCACTATCGATGCATTGATCGATTCCATGCCCAGATGTCAGGCTGTGATCAATAGTATGAATTACCCAATCAAGTACTAGGTTGCTCTATATGGCTGATTGTCGTTCACGGATTCTTCTACACAAGTCTATGTCATGTGAAATACATTGCAAATCTATGGTAAAAAAAATGGTCTGCTTTCATAAAGTTTCAAAAAAGTTATGTGGGAAAACCCAAATTATCATATACTTTTGAGCGGTACTGTAGGCATATATTTAAAGCGTTTGTATTCATGTCGTAAATTTTTGTCTGTTGAGCTCAAGCGTTTATTATGTGATAGCCTAGTTTTGTCCAACTTCAATTATTGTAGTGTTGTTTTTAGCTCTTCCTTGTCTTTTGAATCAATGCGCAAGGTACAAGTTGTTCAAAACTCTTGCTTACGCTTTGTTTATGGCGTTTATAACGAAGAGATCATATTTCCCCCGTTCTAATGTCTAGTGGTTGGGTGAATATGAAACGGAGGTTCCGTGTACAATATTTGTGTCTATAGGATTCTTCACACAGTGAAGCCTTGTTCATAAAATAAGATTTAGGACAGACATTCATAACTTAAACTTGAGACATAGATTTGCGATAACAATACCATATCACCGGTCTGCTAAGTTCTGTCGTTTTTTCTTTTACCGGATTGTTTTTTTTTGTTGTTTTTGATGGTTTATTTCATTTTTTTGTTTTTTTTTTAATTCTACTCAGTATACGATTTTGTTTTTTTTTCTGTTTTTGTTTCTCTTGATACAAGTTAAAATCAGTGGTAGTGTTGCTACCTTTTCTGTTCTTGTACCATTTGAGCCATTGTAATTTGAATACTTTTTTATTTATTTTAGTTGTAAGGATTATTTTATTTTGCCTTGTTAATTATATTCATATTTTTTTTGTTACTGTTCAAATAATTTTGTTCTTGTTATCATTATTTCTGGCTCAATAAACAGTTTATTATTATTATTATTACTTCTTTGAGGAACTCCGGTTCGAATTTCATGTAGTGGTGAATAAGCGTTTTCATATTTTACTCTAAAATATCGATCAGAAAGATACGATTTTAATTGTTGACTATACGCTGATGGTAGTATTTGGTCTAGTTTGTAATTTAAACCATCTAACCAGACTTTGTCGAAAGCTTGTGCAACATCTAGAAATACGGCGGAGCAGACTTTATTTTCTTCCATTGCTATTTCAATAGTATTCGGTATTTTCTGCACTTGGTCTATTGTTGTATGTTTATTCCGAAACCCAAATTGATGTGTTGGTATTAGGGCTTTTTCTTCTATGACAGGTTTTAGTCTTTTTCAAGCAGTTTTGATAGTAAGGGTAATAATGAGATTGGAATATATGATGTAACATCTGTGGGGGGTTTACCAGGTTTTGGTATTATTATTATTTCAGAAACTTTCCATATGCTTGGGAAGTATTTCTGTTTAAAAGCAGCATTAATTATGTGTAATAGTTTGTAATCGCCCGTTTTGGTAGATATTTCAATGTTTCTCCATTAATTAGGTCATAGCCTACTGATTTCTTTATATTTAGTTTTTGTATTTCATAATACAGTTCTTTCATTCTGCTGATCACTTTGAATTACGCTAGGGACACTATTTAGCATAGTCTGATGTAAAAGTTTCTTTCAGATGTTCAGCAAACAAATTAACTTTTTCTTGATTGCTGAATTTTACTTCTATCTGTTGGCCAGTAAGTTGGCTTCCCAGTGGAGAGCACCTCACAATTTAGGGCCTCTATTGCATGGTTCAGTTCTTTTCCTTTTGTATTTGTCAAGCGAGAACCCCAAGACATATGTTTTGCATTAAAGTCTCCTCCAAGTATAAATTTGAACTTACTGTTTTCTTATTCTTGATGGCTTGTGGATGATTTTCTCCACAGTTGAAACATTTAGCCGGGATTTCTTTGGCTTTAGTGCATTCGCTGGTCCAGTGTTCACCAGCACATTTAACACATCTCGGATTTTTGTGGCAGTAAGCTATTAAGTACTCTTCGATTTTGACACGCATTCCTAATATGTTTGTTATTTCATGGATTCTTTTTAAATCCTCTAACGGTGCAAAATCCAAGATGTATAAAAGAAGAGGCTCTTTTGTTTTGTATTTTAACATTTGGGTTACTTTACAAATGTTATACTTGCGCTCCAATACATCATCTTTGATAATAATAATAATAATAGTTTTGTTCGTAAGACTCAAAATATTACATATCCTTCCTTACAACCCAGTATTGATATACTAGGAAAGTTCTTGTCTGCAAGGTATTCCGCAATTGAATAATACTTTTTTCCAATAATACTCGTTTAACTGTCTGTTTGAACCTTTTGTTATTCAACTCTTTTATTTTTGATGGCAATGCATTGTACAATTTGACCGATATATAGTTAGATATGGTATTAACAGACTACTTCCATGACGCGTAGTATGTAGATCTTCGTTCTTGGCAATGTGTCTTTCTTCGTATGGTCATTAACTAGGCAGGTAAGTATGCCACAACCTGGGATAGTTAGTATTTTTAAGGTTTTAAAAAATGTTCGGCAGCTTTCTATATAGTCAAGCAGTCTTTTGTATTTTAAATATGTCGTACATATCATTTGACCCTCCCCAGATAGATATGCCATACATTGCCATGCTGTGAAAGTAAGCGAAGTAGACGCTTTTTCTTTCATTTGTCGGTAAATTTTTAGATACAACCTTTATACAGTATATTGAATTTGATAATTTTCTTTTTAAGTTTGTTACATGGTCCGAACAGAAAATTTATCTTTTGAATTTCAGTGTCTTTGTCTCTTTTTGTAGAGAAATTGGTTTTTCTGCATTTAATTTCATTTTGTTCGTTTTGTTTTATTTTTAAGTTCCTGAATATCATTTCCTTGGTTGATAGCAGACGTGTCATCTGCATAGAGACAAATGGAAAGTGCCTTCACATTTTCTGGCATTATTATTATTATTATTTTTATTTTGCCCTGGGCAATTATCTGTAAATATAATTAGGTGGTCAATTTCGGTCTTCGTCATAAGAAATTTAAGAAGGATTGAAGCGATTTCATCACTTCCTCTTTTTGCTATATCTTCCGTCCAGAGAAACATGTGCCCTTTGCCATTTGTACAATCATGAATGCCTAAGTTGTATAACCAGATTTTTCTGCAATAAAACGCTGGTAAGTCAAATGAAATTACCTCAGTCAAATGAAAATTGTGTTATTTAACAAATCCTGAATTGCTTTCGCTTTAGTTTTATGTGTCGTCAGGTCAATGTTTAGCCGAGACAATTCCTGATTTTCATTTAATTTTGTTGCAGAGTCTATTCTGATGTTAAGTTGATCACAAGTTTTGCAAGTGTCGGATTTGGGTAATTTAAAGCCAATATTGTATTCTGTACAAAATATCTGCCTATATGTGTGCTCCAGAACAGGTTTGATATGTTGTTGTTGACACCACGGAACATAATACTCAGAATAAAGACGCGATATGGTCATATCACAGTTAAGGTATACTTTCCCTAGATTTTCAGATCTGCTATAGTGACTTTGGTATTTAGGTATTAAATCTATATGCTGTCTAACACTCTGCTTTTGCTGGTCACTAATTTGATTGGGTCGGCCACGTTTATCTTTTTCTGGTACAGGAGTGCCTCTTATTTTCTTTGAAACGATGTTGTTCAGTCTACCCTTTGATTTTTGCAGACCGTGAACATTTAGAAACTCGGTTTTACACACGTTTACTGTTTGGCCATTAGCATTGACAGAATAAATCGCATTGGAAGTTCTACTTGATTCTTGTCGTTTTTGCCTTGTTTTGTAAGATCTCTTTTTCTTTGCTATAGCAATGCATCCAAAGAGATCCCAAATTCCAAAATTCATTGAATCTTTTTACATCTTTTTTTACACTCACAAGGAGGTCCTAACTCCCGAGCTGCAACAGTCTTTTTGGTTTTGTCACTAGTATACTGCTGTCCCAGATTTCTTCTTATTTTTCTTTTTGATCGTGGATATGTGTCTTCTTTTCGGTGTTTGAATCTACTTCTAGGGGCAGGTTCAGGTGTATCAGCCCTAATCCGTTTTAATGTTCTCCTCCCTGTTTCCCCATCTGATTCTTTTATACCATCGTTCTATATTGAAAAAGCAACACTAAACTAGCCACCCAATGACAACCCAATTTGTTTGCATAGAATTAACAATGGCTATACAATAACATGCCACATAAATGAAAAAAGTCTTTTGTATCTACCTTTTCCGCATCACTAGGTACATAATCTCTATCAATATCACTATCATCGACTGGAGAATCTACATCACTCATTTCACTGTTCATTATATTAAAATTATTCGATTCACATTACTACGAATTTGTGGTGCAGCAAAAGTCATATTTGAAAAAAATCTGACTTGTCATTGTTTCACACTAAGCCCTTCATATATATATCAGAAAAAGTATAGGCCCATTCTGAGTGTATTCCTTTTCAATACACTTGTTGTTCTCTCTGATCCAAGTAAGAGGCTAATAAATTATATGAAGTAGCTTTGAAACCATATTTATGTAATTTAAAATTCTGTGATCAAAAGCCTGCTGAGATCACAAAAGGCTATTTGCGTGTATTTCTGTTGGTCAAAACCATCTGCTATTTTTTGGATAACATTTAGTAACGGTGTTGTGGTTGATCTGCCTTGTATGTATCCATGCAAATATTTGGTTACGAGATCTTCTGCGTCTAAATATTCCATAATCCTTCTCTTTATGACAACCATATCACATGAGGCGTATAAATGCAAAAGCAGACATTCGACATTTTCTTCAAAAATTAGTTAGACAAGGATCTGTATTGTAAATTTAGCAAGGAATCGATTTTTGTGGTCCCCAGGAGCGTAACAATACATTTAAGCGAGTTATTGCGATAATAAATTCCACTTTAAATGCAAAAGCAGACATTTGCGCCAAGTAGTTAGATGCAAAAGCAAACGTTTGTGTTTGAACCTATCCATTTCTCGCATTACGTCACATGATCGCCGTGACATTGAAGCAGCTGTTAGTTTTGTTCGCTTCTGCATGATTTGATGTTTTGACTATCTGTGACAAAATAAATGGATAACAACATTACCATTGAGCCAAGTCCTCGTGGCAAAGGGCGAAAGAGAATAGCAAATAAGCAAGAGTGGAAGCGTGAAAAAGCCAAGACAAAGAGGTATGTTTGTTTTGCAAATTCGGGATTAGCAACCTCGAAAAGTAGTTCTTTTACTTTTGTAGGTATTCTCGGCAACATCTACCTGAATTCCCCACTTGTAGGCATAGAACAAAAACAATGCAATGTTGTTTATTAACTATGACTGAAATAGGGAAATTCAATGAGGGTTTTTACCAGAAGAAAAATAAATTGTTTCAAGATATGTTTGTATTGAAGCATTGCGTCACAAGTAAGCCGAAAAGGCCGCGTACCAAAATTAAAGAAAATGTTCGTAATAAACCAAAGGCGATTAAAAGGCATTAAAACTTCCAAAGGAGCAATTCCTGTGTGCAAAAAAACATTTGTGGCTATACTAGGTATTGGAAAAAATCGACTTGAAAGAATACTTAGCAGATATCACCAGACCGGAGGTTTACCAGCAGAAAACAGAGGAGGTGATCAAATATCACATAAAACGGCTGCTAAAAGACTAAAGATGAGAAAGAGATTAAATTGCTGCGAGACCCATTATGCACGTAATAAAACAATTATTAGGCGATACTTACCATGTGAGCTGAATATTGTCAAATTATGGAAGATGTACAATGACCGAATGGATGAAACCCTAAAAGTTAAACAGTGCTTTTTCAGAAACATTTTTGTACGACAATACAATATTGGTTTTGGATCTCCGAAGGATGGTGTATGTTCAAAATGCCTGCAGTTTTCAGAAAAACTAAGAAAAATTACCGACCCTCAAGAAAAAATAACGGCATAATGCTAAATGATCCCAAAACTGCAATTTTTTCCTATGATTGTCAGAAAAACTTACCACTGCCAAAAATTCCAGATCAAGCCTGTTATTTTAGTATGCAGGTCAATTTATATAATTTGACGGTAGTAAGTGGGCATTAAAAGTCGAAACTCACTCCTGAAAACGTAAAATCATTTATTTGGACAGAAAAGGACTGCCAAAAAAGCTCAAATGAAATAGTTTCTGCAGTTTTTTACTCATTGCAGAACTTTAATTTTGATGAAGAGGTACAGCAAGTGCGTTTGGTGTGCGATGGGTGTGGAGGACAAAATAAAAATAGTTCGATGATCGGTATGGTCCAATACTGGCTGAAGCGCTGTTCTCCACCTCAGATACAACTCATAGAACTCGTTTATCCAGTAGTCGGTCATTCTTTCCTCCCCCCAGATCGAGTCTTTGGCCAAATCGAGAGGAAGATTAAAAAATGTGCCACCATAATTAACCCAGAGATGTACCTGAAGATAATTAAAGAGTATGCTACAGTACTTAGAATGGGCGAAGATTACCCAATCTTCGACTGGAAAAGTGACGTGAAAAAAGTTCAGAAGAGCCCTGGATCTTGGCATTTCCGCTTTCAACCGTCTAAACGCATAATTTTTACAAAGGCCACCGATGGTTCCGTTCTTGTCAGGGGTGAACCATTTTACAAAAACGATATTTCTATAGCTAAGAGCATCTGTAAGAAATTTCAAACAGTTAACCACTTCAAGTTACAACCACTGAATACCGGCAGAAGCCTTAAACCGGACAAGATAAGAAGCATTTCCTCTTTGCTAGCCAAACACTATGGTGCAGAATGGGAAAACGATGAACGTCTGGAGTTCTTCAAAAACGCCTTTCAAGACAATCCAGCCAACACTTCGGAAACTCAGCTGGATGTGAATGACACACTAGTGTTTTCTGATAATGAAGAAGATACTGACTTACGAATTTAAATTTGTACCTAAGAAACTAATTTTGTACTTTTTTTCAATAAAATCAGCTTCTTTAAAATCTCTTTTATCGCAATTCCAAATTTTATTAGTGCAGATACTGCTAGTCTTTTTACAGAAACGCCAAATCCAGAACTTTGCAGTTCACGAAGCAGAGATTTCCAAGCCTTAGATGCAAAACAAGACATTCTCATTTTTTTTATCAAAATAACTTTTTTACTATAAGCCTGACTTGCGCTTTAAAGCACATACAGACGTGTCAATGTATTATCTACTTTTGGTTAAAATACCAAGTCGATTGAGCGACTTAAACGACGATGAGAGGTTTTTCGCGCTTTACTCAAAACTATTCGAATGTCAAATGTCTGGTTTTGCATATTATTGAAGTTTTTTAATTTTTGATTTTGTTAAATTTAATTTTTATTTGTAAATTAAGTTAAAATTTTATTTAGATCAATTCCTGAACCCCACCTACTAACATAATATTTTTCCATTATATTATATAATATTCTAAGTACTGAAGATGAAACATTAGTTTCGAAACATGTCTGCTTGAATTGAATTAAACATTTTAGTATTTCTCAAAAAGTTTTTACTTCTACCTACATCATATTTTATCGCCGGTAATATTGAGATTTCTGATTTGCTTATTCTCATAAGTTGAAAATAAAAATTTCGATCAATCCTAGCGCCTCGGCCGCAAGCGACCTCGGCGAAGTGAAGATAAACGATTTCTCATACAAAAATTTTTTTGTTTAAAAAATTAATTTTAATTATTATTATTAATAAATGTTGTTCAACACGCTAATTCTTCAATTTCAAATATTATACTTAATTCTAATTAATTTAATAAACATTTTATACTTCAAATTTCCATAAATTACTCAAAACGGTGTGTAATGTATACTTTTCTGTGTCACTGTATATTAAGACTTACCTTTATACGATATAAATCTATAATCGTTGTTTAAGTCGCCAAGTTGAGATGCTAATAAACTCTCTTGGGTTAGTAAAATTAGGAGTATCACTGAACAAACATGCAACATTTTGGCACATCTGAAATAAAAATAATTCAAATAAATTAAGTTTCATTCTTGATGCGCGTCAATCTAGAACAATTTACAAATATTTACAGCTCAAGTTACTCCGTGGAGATAATATTATTTACATTGCAAGCAAATAACATTTTTATCCCACGTGTAACTAGATTTATGTTGTTACCTTTTCGGGTTGAAACATTTTAATTTATTAATTTAAAAATAGGGTTTTTTAAAAATTAGGGGTGTTTTGTAATAAAACGCAAACAGATGTGTTTTGAGCGGGCGGGTTTAAAGAGCGAATTCTAAGAAAACCAACATACCAGGTACAATTTCTAAAGCGCAACATTGTCGACCCGATGGTGGGGACGTAAAATCACCGACCTTCCATTACAAAAACGAATCTGCTACGGTTTTTGCAAAAATCACTGCACCAAAGATGTTCTTTAACCAACCAACAACAAAAACTTGATTAAAACTATTAAAACAATGTTTAAAACTAAAAAAAGTTGCTCAAAACTGCTTGGATTGTGTTATTTTTTTGAAAAAACGACTTGTCTACTCTTACGACCTTGACTACATAGCGTAAGGTTGTTTGAGTTCGTCCAAGAACATGGACACATGTCCACACCACGTTGACTTTACCACTAAAGACGCTCGAGTGGTACGAGTTTCGAGATCTAAAACCTCTTTGGCTCGGACTCCCACCGAATCCTTCTCTCGCTCGATAGATAAGGATAGTCTCCTCTGTTACACGCAACTTTACTAACTTTACTTTTCAAGTTGGAGGTGCTCATAGCCTCTTTGGTCCCGAACGTCTCTCGTACTTATCTTATAACGTCGTTCCGTTCAATTCGCTTCGACCTAGTTTATCAAAACCGATAACCGAACGATTACATACGGTTTTTTTCACGGCTATCGATACCATTCTTTACGTTCTACGTGATAAATCTCACATCATGTTTATTTTTTGCACTGCGTTCTCAATATTAATTGATTGTGTTAGTATCAAGGCAATAAAAAATTTGTATACGTATATATATATATACAGGGTGTTTCATAATATATGCGCAGGACTTCAGGATGTAATAGCTTTTCCAAAAATTTCTATCGACTTACCCTCTAAAATGCACTATTTTCGAGATACTTGAAATTTAATAATTTAAAGAAATTTAACCCAACTTCTACGCCACTGGAAAAAGTACGGTCTAAAGTTGACCGTTTTTGAGAAAAATCAACTTTTATCTTGAATAACATGGTCAATTTTTTTAAATTAAATTTCATTTATATATTATGTATGTTAAATTGAAGTTTAAACATTTTACTTTTTGATATGATATAGAAACTATAAAATAATATTATTGACATTTCCAAGAAAGAGTTATTAAAAAGAAATTGTCAAATTTACAAATTAAAAAAATCGCGAAATTTTCAAAAAATCATATCTACCGTATTTTTACGAATCATAATATGATATGTATCTTAAACATTTTACCTTTTGATATGATATAGAAACAATAAGATAATATTATTGAAATTTCTACACAAAAAAGTACTGAAAGTTTTGAGAAAAATCAACTTTTATGTTGAATAACATGGTCAATTTTTTTAAATTAAATTTTATTTATATATTATGTATGTTAAATTGAAGTTTAAACATTTTACTTTTTGATATGATATAGAAACTATAAAATAATATTATTGAAATTTCCAAGAAAGAGTTATTAAAAAGAAATTGTCAAATTTACAAATTAAAAAAATCGCGAAATTTTCAAAAAATCGTATATGCCGTATTTTTACGAATCATAATATGATATGTATCTTAAACATTTTACTTTTTGATATGATATAGAAACAATAAGATAATATTATTGAAATTTCCAAGAAAGAGTTATTAAAAAGAAATTGTCAAATTTACAAATTAAAAAAATCGCGAAATTTTCAAAAAATCGTATCTACCGTATTTTTACGAATCATAATATGATATGTATCTTAAACATTTTACTTTTTGATATGATATAGAAACAATAAGATAATATTATTGAAATTTCCAAGAAAGAGATAGTAAAAAGAAATTGTCAAATTTACAAATTAAAAAAATCGCGAAATTTTAAAAAAATCATATCTACCGTATTTTTACGAATCATAATATGATATGTATCTTAAACATTTGACTTTTTGATATGATGTAGAAACAATAAGATAATATTATTGAAATTTCTACACAAAAAAGTACTAAAGGTTTTGAGAAAAATCAACTTTTATGTTGAATAACATAGTCAATTTTTTTAAATTAAATTTTATTTATATATTATGTATGTTAAATTGAAGTTTAAACATTTTACTTTTTGATATGATATAGAAACTATAAAATAATATTATTGAAATTTCCAAGAAAGAGTTATTAAAAAGAAATTGTCAAATTTACAAATTAAAAAAATCGCGAAATTTTCAAAAAATCGTATCTACCGTATTTTTACGAATCATAATATGATATGTATCTTAAACATTTTACTTGTTGATATGATATAGAAACAATAAGATAACATTATTGAAATTTCCAGGAATTATTATTAGAGACGAATTAACAAATTTATAAATTAAAAATTTCCCGGAATTTTCAAAAAATCACATCTTTCTTAATTTTAAGAATCATAATATGATGTGTATGTTAAATTGAAGCTTAAAGATTCTACTTTTTGATATGACAGAAACTATAAGATAACATTATTGAAATTTCCAGAAATTATTATTAGAGAAGAATTAACAAATTTATAAATTAAAAATTTCGCGAAATTTTCAAAAAATCATATCTACCGTATTTTTACGAATCAAAATATGATATGTGTGTTAAATTGAAGCTTAAACATTCTACTTTTTGATATGATATAGAAACTATAAGATAACATTATTGAAATTTCCAGGAATTATTATTAAAGAAGAATTAACAAATTTATAAATTAAATATTTCGCGGAATTTTCAAAAAATCACATCTTCCTTAATTTTAAGAATCATAATATGATGTGTATGTTAAATTGAAGCTTAAAGATTCTACTTTTTGATATGATATAGAAACTATAAGATAACAGTATTGAAATTTCCAGGAATTATTATTAAAGAAGAATTGACAAATTTATAAATTAAATATTGCGCGGAATTTTCAAAAAACTACATCTTCCTTAATTTTAAGAATCATAATATAATGTGTATGTTAAATTGAAGCTTAAAGATTCTACTTTTTGATATGACAGAAACTATAAGATAATATTATTGAAATTTCCAGGAATAATTATTAGAGACGAATTAACAAATTTATAAATTAAAAATTTCGCGGAATTTTCAAAAAATTATATCGACCGTATTTTTAAGAGACATAGTATGTCCCAAATTATGGTATACAAAACTTTGAAAACTGCTTTATTGTATTTCTAAAATTAGTAATTTAATTTGTAACTTAATTTAAACATATATTAATATTAAACACAATTCACTTTTATACACATAGTTTTTGGCGATGTTTGGTGCTGCAAAGACTGAATAGCATAGAAGAAGCCAACGTCTAAAACATTCAAATCAGGAGTATTCGGTGGCTGTGATTTGAATTTAATACACCATCCATCTCTTGATCCTTCGGCCAGCAATTCTGCATCGTTTTCATAAGAATGCGGTTTTGCAATATCTTGTTGAACATAAATTGTCTTGGCTTTATGCGCTTTTGGGAATTTGAGTCAAATTGAATATAAAGGATGGTATTTCATGATATGATTTAAAAATTGATATGTTAATAATAAAAGTTTGTAGAGAAGAGTTCTTCAAAATGAATTAATTTGAATTAGGTTATGTTCGAAAACGTCCAAATTAAAAAAAATCGTATTAACTTCATTTTTTTGAGTTACGAAACGATTTATATCACAAGTTTAAGCTACAATAGTATATTTTTGGATGTGGTATAAAAATAGTTGTGTTAATAATAAAAATTTGTAGAAAAAGTTAAAAAAAAATAATCTCGAATATGCCAAAATTAAAAAAATCGTCTTGAATTTATTTGTACGAATATAGAAGTGATTTATATCACAAATTGAAGATAAAGGATGATATTTCCTGATATGATTTAAAAATTGATGTGTTAATAATAAAAGTTTGTAGAGAAAAGTTTTTGAAAATGAATTAACTTGAATTAGGTTATGTTCGAAAACGTCAAAATTAAAAAAAATTTTATTAACTTCATTTTTTTGAGTTATGGAACGATTTATATCACAAGTTGAAGCTAAAATAATATATTTTTGGATGTGGTATAAAAATAGTTGTGTTAATAATAAAAATTTGTAGAAAAAGTTAAAAGAAAAAAATCTCGAATATGCCAAAATTAAAAAAATCGTCTTGAATTTATTTGTTCGAATTAAGAAGTGATTTATTTCACAAATTGAAGATAAAGGATGATATTTCATGATATGATTTAAAAATTAATATGTTAATAATAAAAGTTTGCAGAGAAAAGTTCTTCAAAATGAATTAATTTGAATTAGGGTATGTTCGAAAACGTCAAAATTAAAAAAAATCGTATTAATTTCATTTTTTTGAGTTACGAAACGATTTATATCACAAGTTGAAGCTAAAATATTATACTTTTGGATGTGGTATAAAAATAATTGTATTAATAATAAATATTTTTAGAATTTAAAAAATCGCCTTCACTTTAATTGTTGGAATTAAGAATTAATTGTTGGAATTAATTTGTAAACAAAAGGGCAGAGTCCTATTTTGTCGTTGAAATACTGTCAAATCAGATTTTATTATTGAAATTTCCAGAAAAGAATTATTAAAAAAAATTCTAAAATATGTCTATATATATATATATATTCATGGAAGTTTGGATTAATGAATTTAAATTGAGGAAGAGTACTTATCTCAAATGGTTTAAATTAAAGGCAATATTAAAATGGCGAAGTAAAATTAAAGATAATAATGCGGCCGGGAGAAGTTATTTTGTCCTCTTGTTTTCTAGTAATCCAAGTTGTTCTTGTGGTGCGAAGAGGAAATTTTTAAAAGCGGCTTAACCGCACCTGTATGTCTCGTTAGTAGGTGGTACGTAGGTTTTCAACTCGTTTTAAAACACCTATTATACTACGTGCCCGTATACGTACGATTACTATTTATTATTAACGTAAGTATTTATAGTCAAAGAAAATTCTTTGAGACCTCAAATTTTAATTATTATTAGTTTTCGTGATAATTTTAAAGAAAGCGGCCGTTTCCGATAAATTTTCAATACAAAGTTTTGTAAACAGGTTGCGTTTAAGTTGGGGAATGGTGCGATAAAAAGCCACATGCTAACGCGAATGTGGGCGCATGCTAATTTGCTCGCCTAATGGCATGCATATGCAAGTTAGATTGTACGTTTTCGAACTCTTGGCGCCAACTAGACTGATTGTTTATTTATTTATTTATTTACTCATTTATTTATCTCAATAATAAAAATATATATAAATATGTATACTTATTTCGTATTTCGTATAACACCCAACCCAAGCGAAACTTGAAAAGAGAAATTGGCTTTCTCATTCATCCCACGCCATTTTATAAAATTTTATTCGACAAAACACTAAAATAGATAAAAAATTATCATCCACTCCGGAAATTCTTTCATCCTGTTCAAAACTTAACTCCAATTTTTTTTCAAATTAGTAATCGCGTTGCTTTAAAGCTACGATGAATAAACTAATTTTCTTTAATTTTTTATTAATTTCTTTATTTAGACACTTAAACTATTCAAAATGTATGAAACCGAAAATCTCTTTGCAACGATACAAACGCTACATAGGATTGAGCAGAAGCTTTAAGGTGAAGTATACATTATAATTTACTCATTATGTAAAAGTGAATTGTTTTCTAGTTGAATCGAAGATACCAAGAATGCGTTGGACCCGGCGATATACAAGGCCATTGCAAACACGCTATTTATTGTCAAACAGACGTTACGGCCATGTCCAAAAACGTCTTAGATTATCTTTGCGTAATCGCTAAAACGTAAGAAAATAATTTAATTTTAATGCGCATGAATTGATAAAACTGTTTTTGTTTCAACTTAACATTTTCTTACAACTATCAATTTGTTTTCTCCGCAAAAGGTCGCGTTGAAGGTCTTCTTTGTCGGTAGTTAAAAACACAGATGTTTCATCCAGCTGATTTATAGTAATCTCATTAAATATCTTATCAATTTTTAAACATTCTTGTTTATGTGGTCAACAATTTTTGAATTTATCATTTTTAGACATATTGGGGTCTGTTGCCCAGATGATATTCTTTTAGCAACTGCTCAAGGTTCCTTAGTCATAAAAGATTTGCCAGCATCGGGAACTGATTATGATGACGATGATAAAAATTCAGGTTAATAAACAAATTTTTCTTTCTTTGTACTTTAAAATTAAAAAAAAATCATGTTAGGTTGCGGATTACCATCAATGGCGGGATCCACATCAAAATCACCCCAAACTTTAAAACGTTGGCCTTGGATTGCTGTTTTATACGAACAACATAAACCAGAAGAACAATTCTGCGGTGGTGCGTTGATAACTGATAAACACATCTTAACAGCCGCCCACTGTTTCATTAAGTACGACTAAACATAACCTCTTCATTATACAGCGTGTTCGATTTTAGCTGTCCGATCTTATAGGGTGTTAATTAATTATCATTCACAGCATTTATTTTATAATACGCGATTTGCGTATTTGTTGGAATTAAGAAGTGATTTATATCACATTTTGAAGATAAAGGATGATATTTCATGATATGATTTAAAAATTAATATGTTAATAATAAAAGTTTGTAGAGAAAACTTCTTCAAAATGAATTAACTTGAATTAGGATAAATTCGAAAACGACAAAATTTTAAAAAAATCGTATTAACTTCATTTTTTTAAGTTACGAAACGATTTATATCACAAGTTGAAGCTAAAATATTATATTTTTGGATGTGGTATAAAAATAGTTGTGTTAATAATAAAAATTTGTAGAAAAAATTTAAAAAAAATAATCTCGAACATGCCAAAATTAAAAAAAATCGCCTTGATTTTATTTGTTGGAATTAAGAAGTGATTTATATCACAAATTGAAGATAAACGATGATATTTCATGATATAATTTAAAAATTGATATGTTAATAATAAAAGTTTGTAGAGAAAACTTCTTCAAAATGAATTAACTTAAATTAGGTTAAATTCGAAAACGATAAAATTAAAAAAAATCGTATTAACTTCATTTTTTTGAGTTACGAAACGATTTATATCACAAGTTGAAGCTAAAATATTATATTTTTGGATGTGGTATAAAAATAGTTGTGTTAATAATAAAAATTTGTAGAAAAAATTTAAAAAAAATAATCTCGAACATGCCAAAATTAAAAAAAATCGCCTTGATTTTATTTGTTGGAATTAAGAAGTGATTTATATCACAAATTGAAGATAAACGATGATATTTCATGATATAATTTAAAAATTGATATGTTAATAATAAAAGTTTGTAGAGAAAACTTCTTCAAAATGAATTAACTTAAATTAGGTTAAATTCGAAAACGATAAAATTAAAAAAAATCGTATTAACTTCATTTTTTTGAGTTACGAAACGATTTATATCACAAGTTGAAGCTAAAATATTATATTTTTGGATGTGGTATAAAAATAGTTGTGTTAATAATAAAAATTTGTAGAAAAAGTTAAAAAAAAATAATCTCGAACATGCCAAAATTAAAAAAATCGCCTTGACTTTATTTGTTGGAATTAAGAAGTGATTTATATCACAAATTGAAGTTACAGGATGATATTTCATGATATGATTTAAAAATTAATATGTTAATAATAAAAGTTTGTAGATAAAAGTTCTTCAAAATGAATTAACTTAAATTAGGTTAAATTCGAAAACGTCAAAATTAAAAAAAAATCGTATTAACTTCATTTTTTTGAGTTACGAAACGATTTATATCACAAGTTGAAGCTAAAATATTATATTGTAGAATGTGGTATAAAAATAGTTTGTTTAATAATAAAAATTTGTAGAAAAAGTTAAAAAAAAATAATCTCGAACATGCAAAAATTAAAAAAATCGCCTTGACTTTATTTGTTGGAATTAAGAAGTGATTTATATCACAAATTGAAGATAAAGGATGGTATTTTATAATATGATTTAAAAATTGATATGTTAATGATAAAAGTTTGTAGAGAAAACTTTTTCAAAATGAATTAACTTGAATTAGGTTAAATTCGAAAACGTCAAAATTAAAAAAAAATCGTATTAACTTTATTTTTTGGAGTTACGTTACGATTTATATCACAAGTTGAAGCTAAAATATTATATTTTTGGATGTGGTATAAAAATAGTTGTGTTAATAATAAAAATTTGTAAAAAAAGTTAAAAAAAATAATCTCAAACATGCAAAAATTAAAAAAATCGCCTTGACTTTATTTGTTGGAATTAAGAAGTGATTTATATCACAAATTAAAGATAAAGGATGATATTTCATGATATGATTTAAAAATTGATATGTTAATAATAAAAGTTTGTAGAGAAAACATCTTCAAAACGAATTAACTTGAATTAGGTTAAATTCGAAAACGTCAAAATAAAAAAAAATCGTATTAACTTAATTTTTTTGAGTTACGAAACGATTTATATCACAAGTTGAAGCTAAAATGTTATATTTTTGGATGTGGTATAAAAATAGTTGTGTTAATAATAAAAATTTGTAGAAAAAGTTAAAAAAAAATAATCTCGAACATGCCAAAATTAAAAAAATCGTCTTGACTTTATTTGTTGGAATCAAGAAGTGATTTATATCACAAATTGAAGATAAAGGATGATATTTCATGATATGATTTAAAAATTGATATGTTAATAATAAAAGTTTGTGGAGAAAAGTTCTTCAAAATGAATTAACTTTAATTAGGTTAAATTCGAAAACTTCAAAATTTAAGAAAATCGTATTAAATTTATTTTTTGAAGTCACGAAACGATTTATATCACAAGTTGAAGCTAAAATATTATATTTTTGGATGTGGTATAAAAATAGTTGTGTTAATAATAAAAATTTGTAGAAAAAGTTAAAAAAAAATAATCTCGAACATGCCAAAATTAAAAAAATCGTCTTGACTTTATTTGTTGGAATCAAGAAGTGATTTATATCACAAATTGAAGATAAAGGATGATATTTCATGATATGATTTAAAAATTGATATGTTAATAATAAAAGTTTGTGGAGAAAAGTTCTTCAAAATGAATTAACTTTAATTAGGTTAAATTCGAAAACTTCAAAATTTAAGAAAATCGTATTAAATTTATTTTTTGAAGTCACGAAACGATTTATATCACAAGTTGAAGCTAAAATATTATATTTTTGGATGTGGTATAAAAATAGTTGTGTTAATAATAAATATTTATAGAAAAAGTTAAAAAGAAAATAATCCCGAACATGCCAAAATTAAAAAAATCGCCTTGGCTTTATTTGTTGGAATTAAGAAGTGATTTATATCACAAATTGAAGATAAAGGATGATATTTCATGATATGATTTAAAAATTGATATGTTAATAATAAAAGTTTGTAGAGAAAAGTTCTTCAAGATGAATTAAGTTTAATTAGGTTAAATTCGAAAACGACAAAATTAAAAAAAAATCGTATTAGCTTCATTTTTTTGAGTTACGAAACGATTTATATCACAAGTTGAAGCTAAAATATTATATTTTTGGATGTGGTATAAAAATAGTTGTGTTAATAATAAAAATTTGTAGAAAAAGTTAAAAAAAAATAATTTCGAACATGCCAAAATTAAAAAAAATCGTCTTGTCTTTATTTGTTGGAATTAAGAAGTGATTTATATCACAAATTGAAGATAAAGGATGATATTTCATGATATGATTTAAAAATTAATATGTTAATAATAAAAGTTTGTCGAGAAAAGTTGTTCAAAATGAATTAACTTGAATTAGGTTAAATTCGAAAACGTCAAAATTAAAAAAAATCGTATTAACTTCATTTTTTTGAGTTACGAAACGATTTATATCACAAGTTGAAGCTAAAATATTATATTTTTGGATGTTGTATAAAAATAGTTGTATTAATAATAAAAATTTGTAGAAAAAGTTAAAAAAAAATAATCTCGATCATGCAAAAATTAAAAAAAACGCCTTGACTTTATTTGTTGGAATTAAGAAGTGATTTATATCATAAATTGAAGATAAAGGATAATATTTCATGATATGATTTAAAAATTGATATGTTAATAACAAAAGTTTGTAGAGAAAAGTTCCTCAAAATGAATTAGGTTATATTCGAAATCGTTAAAATTAAAAAAAATCGTATAAACTTTATTTTTTGGAGTTACGCAACGATTTATATCACAAGTTGAAGCTAAAATATTATATTTTTGGATGTGGTATAAAAATAGTTGTGTTAATAATAAAAATTTGTAGAAAAAGTTAAAAAAAAATAATCTCGAACATGCCAAAATTAAAAAAATCGCCTTGACTTTATTTGTTGGAATTAAGAAGTGATTTATATCACAAATTGAAGATAAAGGATGATATTTCATGATATGATTTAAAAATTGACATGTTAATAATAAAAGTTTGTAGAGAAAACTTCTTCAAAATGAATTAACTTGAATTAGGTTAAATTTGAAAACGTCAAAATTAAAAAAAAATCGTATTAACTTCATTCTTTTGAGTTACAAAACGATTTATATCACAAGTTGAAGCTAAAATATTATATTTTCGGATGTGGTATAAAAATAGTTGTGTTAATAATAAAAATTTGTAGAAAAAGTTAAAAAAAAATAATCTCGAACATGCCAAAGTTAAAAAAATCGCCTTGACTTTATTTGTTGAAATTAAGAAGTGATTTATATCACAAATTAAAGATAAAGGATGATATTTCATGATATGATTTAAAAATTGATATGTTAATAATAAAAGTTTGTAGAGAAAACTTCTTCAAAATGAATTAATTTGAATTAGGTTAAATTCGAAAACGTCAAAATTAAAAGAAAATCGTATTAACTTCATTTTTTTGAGTTACGAAACGATTTATATCACTAGTTGAAGCTGAAATATTATATTTTTGGATGTGGTATAAAAATAGTTGTATTAATAATAAAAATTTGTAGAAAAATTTAAAAAAAAATAATCTCGAACATGCCAAAATTAAAAAAATCGCCTAGACTTTATTTGTTGGAATTAAAAAGTGATTTATATCACAAATTAAAGATAAAGGATGATATTTCATGATATGATTTAAAAATTAATATGTTAATAATAAAAGTTTGTCGAGAAAAGTTGTTCAAAATGAATTAACTTGAATTAGGTTAAATTCGAAAACGTCAAAATTAAAAAAAAACGTATTAACTTCATTTTTTTGAGTTACGAAACGATTTATATCACAAGTTGAAGCTAAAATATTATATTTTTGGATGTGGTATAAAAATAGTTGTGTTAATAATAAAAATTTGTAGAAAAAGTTAAAAAAAATAATCTCGAACATGCCAAAATTAAAAAAATCGCCTTGAATTTATTTGTTCGATTTAAGAAGTGATTTATATCACAAATTAAAGATAAAGGATGGTATTTCATGATATGATTTAAAAATTGATATGTTAATAATAAAAGTTTGTAGAGAAAAGTTCTTCAAAATGGATTAACTTGAATTAGGTTAAATTCGAAAACGACAAAATTAAAAAAAAATCGTATTAACTTCATTTTTTTGAGTTGCGGAACGATTTATATCACAAGTTGAAACTAAAATATTATATTTTTGGTTGTGGTATAAGAATAGTTGTGTTAATAATAAAAATTTGTAAAAAAAGTTAAAAAAAAAAAATCTCGAACATGCCAAAATTAAAAAAATCGCCTTTACTTTATTTGTTGGAATTAAGAAGTGATTTATATCACAAATTAAAGATAAAGGATGATGTTTCATGATATGATTTAAAAATTGATATGTTAATAATAAAAGTTTGTAGAGAAAAGTTCTTCAAAATGAATTAACTTGAATTAGGTTAAATTCTAAAACGTCAAAATTAAAAAAAAATCATATTAACTTTATTTTTTAGAGTTACGAAACGATTTATATCACAAGTTGAAACTAAAATATTATATTTTTGGATGTGGTATAAAAATAGTTGTGTTAATAATAAAAATTTGTAAAAAAAGTTAAAAAAAAATAATCTCGAACATGCCAAAATTAAAAAAATCGCCTTGACTTTATTTCTTTGAATTAAGAAGTGATTTATATCACAAATTGAAGATAAAGGATGATATTTCATGATATGATTTAAAAATTAATATGTTAATAATAAAAGTTTGTAGAGAAAAGTTCTTCAAAATGAATTAATTTGAATTAGATTATGTTCGAAAACGTCAAAATTAAAAAAAATCGCATTAACTTCATTTTTTTGAGTTACGAAACGATTTATATCACAAGTTGAAGCTAAAATATTATATTTTTGGATGTGGTATAAAAATAGTTGTGTTAATAATAAAAATTTGTAGAAAAAGTTAAAAAAAAATAATCTCGAACAAACAAAAATTAAAAAAAATCGCCTTGACTTAATTTGTTGGAATTAAGAAGTGATTTATATCACAAATTAAAGATAAAGGATGAGATTTCATGATATGATTTAAAAATTGATATGTTAATAATAAAAGTTTGTAGAGAAAAGTTCTTCAAGATGAATTAAGTTTAATTAGGTTAAATTCGAAAACGACAAAATTAAAAAAAAATCGTATTAGCTTCATTTTTTTGAGTTACGAAACGATTTATATCACAAGTTGAAGCTAAAATATTATATTTTTGGATGTGGTATAAAAATAGTTGTGTTAATAATAAAAATTTGTAGAAAAAGTTAAAAAAAAATAATCTCGAACATGCCAAAATTAAAAAAAATCGCCTTGATTTTATTTGTTGGAATTAAGAAGTGATTTATGTCACAAATTGAAGATAAAGGATGATATTTCATGATATGATTTAAAAATTGATATGTTAATAATAAAAGTTTGTAGAAAAAAGTTCTTCAAAATGAATTAACTTGAATTAGGTTAAATTCGAAAACGACAAAATTAAAAAAAATCGTATTAACTTCATTTTTTTGAGTTACGAAACGATTTATATCACAAGTTGAAGCTAAAATAGTATATTTTCGGATGTGGTATAAAAATAGTTGTGTTAATAATAAAAATTTGTAGAAAAAGTTAAAAAAAAATAATCTCGAACATGCCAAAATTAAAAAAATCGCCTTGACTTTATTTGTTGGAATTAAAAAGTGATTTATATCACAAATTGAAGATAAAGGATGATATTTCATGATATGATTTAAAAATTGATATGTTAATAATAAAAGTTTGTAGAGAAAAGTTCTTCAAGATGAATTAACTTTAATTAGGTTAAATTCGAAAACGACAAAATTAAAAAAAAATCGTATTAACTTAATTTTTTTGAGTTACGAAACGATTTATATCACAAGTTAAAGCTAAAATATTATATTTTTGGATGTGGTATAAAAATAGTTGTGTTAATAATAAAAATTTTGTAAAAAAAGTTAAAAAAAAATAATCTCGAACATGCCAAAATTAAAAAAATCGGCTTGACTTTATTTGTTGGGTTGTGATAATAATTTTTAAGTTATGAAACTCCAAATACTGTGATATTGGTTGCATACTTGCATTGATGACGACGGGTACGATAATTAATAAACACACTGTAGATATCTGTTGTGACAACTAAAATGAAACACACTGTATACATTTTTAATTATTCTCCTCTAATTTTAGTATTCGCAAAGAAAACATTCGTGTTCGATTAGGAGAATACGATTTTTTGAGACGAAACGAAACGCGTTCGAAAGATTTCCTCATCTCATCGTTAATTACCCACGAGGAATTTAACTCGGCCAGCTTTGAAAACGACTTGGCGATTGTGAGACTACAAAAACCAACCACTTTCAACTCGTATATTTGGCCAATTTGTCTGCCTCCGATAAATAGATCGTTTGAAAACGAAACAGTTGCTGTGGCAGGATGGGGCCAAGTTTATTATGGGGGCCCAACGAGCGAAACCCTTTTAGAGATTTCTGTCCCAGTTTGGCCTCAACAAAAATGCATCGATTCTTATGCACAAAGGATTACGGAAAATAATATGTGTGCCGCTGGATATGATGGCGATCTGGATTCGTGCAAAGTATGAAAAAACATTTTATTGCTACAATTTTATAAAATTTTAAATAATATTTAGGGCGATTCCGGGAGTCCTTTGCTATACCAATTAGAGAATGGGAGATGGGTTGCTATTGGGATTGTTTCTTGGGGAATTGGATGCGGATTAAAAACCAATCCTGGAGTTTATACGAGAGTTAATAAATATTTACCTTGGATTTTAACGCATACTCTTACAAACTAAACATTATGCAACAAAAATCGCTTTTGATTATGCCATAACATTTTTGTATGCATTTTAATTAATATATTATTATGAAGTAAAGTTGGTTGCTTAACATATTCTTATTTATATTATATACCCTACACTAAACTTGATAATATAGATTATTAATTGTCAAAAATTAATTATTATATGCAAACATCAATAGTTACCATCCGAAATCACACCTAATTGGAAACTACATTATAGCAAATCACATACACTGTGTTAATTAATTATTGTAACCCATGTGACCTGTGTAATATTGGCTGCATATCTCAATATGTAGTGGTAGCTTGGATAATTTTAAATTAGTAACCAGATGTTGACAGCTGATCGTGTGTTATTGTTGTGATTGTCGTACGCTTTGTTGCTGCCTCTATATTTTTCGAAACAGTTCTTTTTAGACCTACCGTTGTTTCTAGCAATTGCTTTAAGTCAACAGACAAGTCAAAATAACCACTACTTTCAACATTAACTTCAGTCTATGGGTACACTAAAAATTATTTTAAATAAAAGGACAAAAAGTTGGATTGTTTTTTTATATTTAAAATATTTTTTTAATTATTAAAATATATTTTAAACGGCTTTTAAAGTTAATGAATTGTCGCCATTGCTTTTAGGAACTTTCGTCGCGTTGCAATACCAATCTGTGATATTGGTTGCATACTTTGTCGGGTACGATAATTAATTAACACATTGTACATTAGACAAAATCAAAATCTTATATTAACTTTAAAGATTGGATCTGGTAGAGGTCGTTCCTGATCTGTGCTTCGACCACCTTGGTATTCTTGTTCACATCAACACAGCAAAGTTATCTAAACCTGCTCCAACTATAACTAAAAATTACAAACTTTGCAACATGGAGAGAGTCAACTCAGCAAAGGACGAAGCGAGCCCATCTAGAATTTGTAAATATTACACCTTTCCGTTACCACCATTCATCATCCGCCTAATCAAAGATAAGAGACGGCTGTTCCGAGACTTTACAGCATGCGAGATCCCTGAACTGAAAAAAAAAGTTTAACGAGCTCAACAAAACCTAGTACAGCAATATAGAATGGAGAAATATATGGAAGCCTGTAACAAAATCAATTCATGTAAGGGGAAAAATTATTGGCAGGAAGTTCGTAAACTGTCTAGATACCAAAAGTTTTCTGAAACAAAAGAGCTTACCGATCCCACTAATGGAACTGCGTATTCGAACCCTGAAGAGATTGTTAACATCCATGCTGACTACCTGGAAGGAATATTTTCGTTTGCTGAGGATGCCTCATTTTGTTCGCAGAACAAAAGCACAATAGACAACTGGTATCAACTTGCTTTTATAAATTCCTCTGAAACACCTGAGGATACTATTATGCTGAAGGACGAGTATTTCACTCTTCTAGGCCAAGGAAAGAACACGGCTCCTGGTTATGATAACATCTCGAGGAAGGTGTTGAGAAGCTTGGACCTTGATATTCACTCCTACATCAGGGAAATAATTAACTTCTGCCTCATGACTCAATATTTTCCACGAGACTGGAGGATCTGTATCGTAATCTGCATCCCCAAGGATTCGTTACTTTCCGATCCAGCAAACTACCGCCCGATCTCACTGCTGCCAGTGATATGAAAGCTTCTCGAGACACATCTCAAGAACAAGCTTCTGGCTGTCGTCTCAAAGAACATCCCACCCTATCAATTTCGATTCCAACCAATTCCACTTACGGTATTGGTTTCCATCTTTCAAGCGGCACGCTATCAAAAACGTAAATCCGCTGCTGTGTTTCTGGATGTCCAAAAGGCTTTCGACTCAGTCTGGCACAAAGGCCTACTATTCAAACTGGATAAGTTAAATGTTCCATATTACCTCCTAAATTTGATAAGGCAATTCCTTTCAGATCGCTCTTGTTCTGTGAAGCTGAAAAACCATCACTCTAGCAGGGATCTCCCATCTCTCCTTCTCTATACAACGTCTTCTGCCACGATATTTACGACAACAATCCAGACGCCTTTGATGTGAATAAATATACTCTACTATACGCCGATGACACAACACTGATTTCGCACGACAGGGACGTTGCCTCTTTGATCCGAAAGCTAATTCTTCATCCTTCAATCCTTCTCCTACAATCACTCCCCTCTCAGTCTCACCAACCTGCAAATACCTAGGCATAACACTCGACAGAACCCTAAAATTCTCTGCCCACGCCATCAAAGTGAAGATGAAAGTGAAAACTGAGTTTTAATTTATAACTTTTTTTTGTACTTATATACTCCTTTTTTTTAAATTTATTTGTATTTTTTGCACCCAAAAATAAAATTTGTTTTCTCTCTCTCGTATCAAAAATAAGTTGGGTTAACTCACACTAAATTAATAAAAATAATAATTTAAATAATAATAAATTATTTGTTGGAATTAAGAAGTGATTTATATCACAAATTGAAGATAAAGGATGATATTTTATAATATGATTTAAAAATTAATATGTTAATAATAAAAATTTTTAGAAAAAAGTTCTTCAAAATGAATTAACTTGAATTAGGTTATGTTCGAAAACGTCAAAATTTTAAAAATTCGTATTAACTTCATTTTTTAGAGTTACGAAACGATTTATATCACAAGTTGAAGCTAAAATAACATATTTTTGGATGTGGTATAAAAATAGTTGTATTAATAATAAAAATTTGTAGAGAAAGTTAAAAAAAAATAATCTCGAACATGCCAAAATTAAAAAAATCGCCTTGACTTTATTTGTTGGAATTAAGAAGTGATTTATATCACAAATTAAGATAAAGGATGATATTTCCTGATATGATTTAAAAATTAATATGTTAATAATAAAAATTTTTAGAAAAAAGTTCTTCAAAATTAATTAACTTGTATTAGGTAATGTTCGAAAACGTCAAAATTTTAAAAATTCGTATTAACTTTATTTTTTGGAGTCACGAAACGATTTATATCACAAGTTGAAGCTAAAATAACATATTTTTGGATGTGGTATGAAAATAGTTGTATTAATAATAAAAATTTGTAGAGAAAGTTAAAAAAAAATAATCTCGAACATGCTAAAATTTAAAAAAATCGTCTTGAATTTATTTGTTAGAATTAAGAAGTGATTTATATCACAAATTGAAGATAAAGGATGATACTTTATAATATGACTTAAAAATTAATATATTAATAATAAAAATTTTTAGAAAAAAGTTCTTCAAAATTAATTAACTTGAATTAGGTTATGTTCGAAAACGTCAAAATTTAAAAAAAATCGTATTAATTTCATTTTTTTGAGTTATAAAACGATTTATATCAAAAGTTGAAGCTAAAATATTATATTTTTGGATGTGGTATAAAAATAGTTGTGTTAATAATAAAAATTTGTAGAGAAAGTTAAAAAAAAATAATCTCGAACATGCCAAAATTAAAAAAATCGTGTTGAATTTATTTGTTCGAATTAAGAAGTGATTTATATCACAAATTGAAGATAAAGGATGATATTTCCTGATATGATTTAAAAATTAATATGTTAATAATAAAAATTTTTAGAAAAAAGTTCTTCAAAATTAATTAACTTGAATTAGGTTATGTTCGAAAACGTCAAAATTAAAAAAAATGGTATTAACTTCATTTTTTAGAGTTACGAAACGATTTATATCACAAGTTGAAGCTAAAATATTATATTTTTGGATGTGCTATAAAAATAGTCGTGTTAATAATTAAAATTTGTGGAAAAAGATTAAAGAAAATAATCTCGAATATGCCAAAATTAAAAAAAAATCGCCTTAACTTTATTTGTTGGAATTAAGAAGTGATTTATATCACAAATTGAAGATAAAGGATGGTATTTCCTGGTATGATTTAAAAATTAATATGTTAATAATAAAATTTTGAGAAAAAAGTTCTTCAAAATTAATTAACTTGAATTAGGTTATGTTCGAAAAAGTAAAAGTTTTCAAAAATTCGTATTAACTTTATTTTTTGGAGTTACGAAATGATTTATATCACAAGTTGAAGCTAAAATAACATATTTTTGGATGTGGTATAAAAATAGTTGTATTAATAATAAAAATTTGTAGAAAAAGTTAAAAAAAAATAATCTCGAACATGCCAAAATTAAAAAAAATCGCCTTGATTTTATTTGTTGGAATTAAGAAGTGATTTATATCACAAATTGAAGATAAAGGATGATATTTCCTGATATGATTTAAAAATTAATATGTTAATAATAAAAATTTTTAGAAAAAAGTTTTTCAAAATTAATTAACTTGAATTAGGTTATGTTCGAAAACGTCAAAATTAAAAAAAAATCGTATTAACTTAATTTTTTTGAGTTATAAAACGATTTATATCACAAGTTGAAGCCAAAATATTATATTTTTGGATCTGGTATAAAAATAGTCGTGTTAATAATTAAAATTTGTAGAAAAAGATAAAAAAAAAATAATCTCGAACATGCCAAAATTTAAAAAAATCGCCTTAACGTTATTTGTTGGAATTAAGAAGTGATTTATATCACAAATTGAAGATAAAGGATGATATTTCTTGATATGATTTAAAAGTTAATATGTTAACACTAAAAATTTTTAGAAAAAAGTTCTTCAAANCGAACATGCCAAAATTTAAAAAAATCGCCTTAACGTTATTTGTTGGAATTAAGAAGTGATTTATATCACAAATTGAAGATAAAGGATGATATTTCTTGATATGATTTAAAAGTTAATATGTTAACACTAAAAATTTTTAGAAAAAAGTTCTTCAAAATTAATTAACTTGAATTAGGTTATGTTCGAAAACGTCAAAATATTAAAAATTCGTAGTAACTTTATTTTTTGGAATTACGAAACGATTTATATCACAAGTTGAAGCTAAAATATTATATTTTTGGATGTGGTATAATAATAGTCTTGTTAATAATTAAAATTTGTAGAAAAAGATAAAAAAAAAATAATCTCGAACATGCCAAAATTAAAAAAAATCGCATTAACTTTATTTGTTGGAATTAAGAAGTGATTTATATCACAAATTGAAGATAAAGGATGATATTTTATAATATGATTTAAAAATTAATATGTTAAGAATAAAAATTTTTAAAAAAAAGTTCTTCAAAATTAATTAACTTGAATTAGGTTATGTTCGAAAACGTCAAAGTTTTAAAAATTCGTATTAACTTTATTTTTTGGAGTTACGAAACGATTTATATCACAAGTTGAAGCTAAAATAACATATTTTTGGATGTGGTATAAAAATAGTTGTATTAATAATAAAAATTTGTAGAGAAAGTTAAAAAAAAATAATCTCGAACATGCCAAAATTAAAAAAAATCGTCTTGAATTTATTTGTTCGAATTAAGAAGTGATTTATATCACAAATTGAAGATAAAGGATGATATTTCCTGATATGATTTAAAAATTAATATGTTAATAATAAAAATTTTTAGAAAAAAGTTCTTCAAAATTAATTAACTTGAATTAGGTTATGTTCGAAAACGTCAAAATTTAAAAAAATCGTAGTAACTTTATTTTTTGGAGTTACGAAACGATTTATATCACAAGTTGAAGCTAAAATTCGTATAAAATGCATTTCTTGGAATATGAGTAAAAAAAATGTCCCAAAGTTTTTGAGAAAACAATATTTGAAGTTTTGATAAAATTTTCAAAATGTGTAAATATCGCCAATTATTAATTAAAGTATCCTCTTTTTAGAGTTGCTTCGTTAATTAAATTAGCATTAAAAAATTCATTTCATTTTCTTATTAATTTCATTTTTATTCAAATAATATCGCAATAATGTGGCAATATACTTTTTACGGTCACTAATTTCTTATAAGGACATTACAACGTCTATTTGTATTATAATAAATCTTTTCTATTGCAATTTATTTTATTTTTATCAAATTAATAGTACGAATACACATGGTGAGCTAATACTTTTTGTAGTCACTGTACACGTACATGTATTGACATTTGACACAACTCCATGTTTTTTTTTTTATTCCTAACCTCTATTTCGCCTAAAACAAAGTTATTTTAGATTTGTAATTAATGAATCGGTTGACGCGTGGTATATTATTAAAAAACTTACGTGCCATCACCCAAGAAATGTCAAGATTTCAGTCTGATTACGCAAGTTTTAAAAAAATCTTGGATAAGGCCCAGAATATAATAGCCCTAACAGGCGCTGGTGTTTCCGCCGAATCAGGGATTCCTGTTTTTCGAGGGGCTGGCGGTTGGTGGAGAAATCATCGAGCTACTGAATTAGCCACACCAGAAGCTTTTCAAAGAAATCCTGCCTTAGTTTGGGAATTTTATCATTATCGAAGAAACATTGCTTTTAATAGTATTCCAAATAATGTGAGTAACTTCATAAATATTTAATTTCTTTTGTACAAAATTTGTTTTCCAGGCCCATTATGCCTTGGCACTTTATGAAGAACGTTGTAAACAGGAAGGCAGACAATTCCACATCATTACTCAAAATGTAGATGGTTTACATTTTCGGGCAGGTTCAAAAGAAGTAATTGAACTACATGGATCATTAACAAAAGTGAAATGTACCAAGTGCAAATTTATTGATGTTAATATTGATAATCCAATTTGCGAAGCATTAAAAGATAAAGGTGATCCCATTGCAAAGGACACCAATGAATCTCAAATTCCCATAGATGAATTACCCAAATGCTCAAAATGTGGTTCATTAGTTAGACCATATATTGTGTGGTTTGGAGAAATGTTGGATCCAGAGACAATTGAAAAAGCAAGTAAGTTAAATAATTATAAACTTATTTGCAAAAAATTTTTTCAATTTTTTTTATAGTGTCACTTGTGGAAACAGCAGATATGTGCATTGTTGTGGGGACTTCATCCGTGGTATATCCAGCAGCTATGTTTGCTCCTACAATTGCTGAACGCGGAAAACCTGTCGCTGAATTTAACATAAATGAAGAACCAGCCAGTGATGACTTTAAATTTTATTTTAATGGAAAATGTGGTATCACCTTGCCTAAAGCTTTAGGAGTGAATTTGTAACAGTATCTTGTTTATTTTTTAAATATTATTTAATACAAAAATAGTTAAGCTCCATTCCTAATAATTTATTAAGAATTACTTTCTTACATAATACTTATAATTAGAAGTACTGAATTTTAGAAAATGTTATTTTGTTAAAATTTTTCAAATTATTTGGATTGTTATTTAAACGCGCAATACATTTATTATTGTGTCTAGTTATTTTTATATGGTATTTAAACGTATATTATCAACCATGTGTTTTTTTTCTTTTGTAATAGTACCTTTACCATATTGACATTTGATACTCTTGTCAGTAAAACACTCCCCAAGCATTTGCAAGAAGTCATCAACTCTTTGGTGACAATTATTTCAATTAATTTCGCAAAGATATAAATTCAGATCATGGAAGGAAATGTTGTTAGAATTAAAAAGCAAACATGACCTTGTGATTCATTTTAATAACAAGAACTCAAACCAAAGATAATATTCAGATTTATTTTCCAGAGTTGTCTGAGCAAGAATATAACCGACATTCCTGATGAAGTGCTTGATACACCGCTCTCAACCGGGATCTTCTCTGTCAACTTTCACGACAAACCCCTGAATGTTAACTGTGATAATTGTACTTATTTTTACTTTTGTAGTTGTTTATTTTGAATGTAAAAGCGGTTTTTGGAATCGTTCGAGTGTTTATCTTGGTGTTAACCCATAAAAACTTTTTTTTGCAGATTTAGAAAGAAATTTTATGATCGTTGGATATTTAAACGTTCCTTAAAGTCGTTTATGCATGTTTGTCGGATATTCGGCCGGATATCCGGTTATCCAGCATACCTATCCGGCCATTATGGTTATAATTTCTGGTGCTTTTCTGAAGTGATACCCTAAATGAACTTTTTTGATGCTGATTTAACTAACGAAGCAACTCTAAAAAGAAGATACTTTAATTAATAATTGGTGATATTTCGAATATTGTTTTCTCAAAAACTAAAAGTTATTTTTCACAACGTGTTGGTTCATTGGAAAGAGGACACTTTCATTAACACTTTGTGAAATTTTCATACTCATATTCCAAGAAATGGATTTTATACGAATTTTTAAAACTTAATCGGCGAAAATTGCAAAATTTGAAAAAATTGCCGATCATTAAAAAAATTTATTTCTCAAGAATTAAAAGTGATTTTTCAAAACGGCTTTTTGCATTAAAAAGAGGAGACTTTAATTAATAATTGGTGATATTTCCACAAGGATCCTTCAAGAAATTAATTTTATAGT